GAGCTATTAATTTTCATGGTACATGTAACCACTTGTGCATTTCGAAAGACCAAAACAGACTTCACCCTTCCAGGCAAAACTGCTACAAGCAGGTAAATAAGAAATGTCACATGAACCATGACAAGTAAAGATGGAATAAGTAATACAAAGATGTGTAGCACCAGGCTTTCTTGAAACATCTGTTACTAATTAGGTCTTTTCTGAAGTTTGAATTGTAAAACTCAAATGGAGTAAGCTGAAATTACTGGATATTTTGGGCCCAGAAAAACTGAAGCTAGACAAGTATACTTCAACTAAAAAGTGACTTTCTCTTGAAACAAGTTAGGGTTGCTGATGCTAACAGCCTTTAAATAGCTTAGTGATAATCAAATCATTGCTCAACATATAACCGCAACCTTTTGTTGCAGAAGTAAACTGGAAAAGCAGGACATCCACTAATGAAGAGGTGGTTGGGAACATCTTAAGTACGCAACAACTAGCCTCAAGACCGAGATGCTTTTCATATTTGAAATTAAAGACCTTTTTCTAGATGAAGTAGGTGAGGTGGCTCTCTTTAATTAGGAAATACATTCTCCACTCTGAAAGGTCTTTTTTCAGGCCCAAGGTAATTAATTCTATTGGACAGCAAAAGAAGGAATGTTGTTTATCTCTTAGATTGCTGTAGTTTCATCTGCAAACTACATTTGGGATAGCAGTTAGCAGGAGTGGGAACCCACATGAAAAAATACTGCTTAGGTACCCAAACTGGTAGAAAAGTTTACTTATTGTATTAATCAAATGTAGAGTTTTCAGCATGTTCAATTTTAAATATGTTTTTGACAGCCAAATTATTTATTGTCTTCCCATACCACTGTACCTTAAATAATAATAATAAAAAACACCTCATAGACACAGACAATAGTATAGTGATTACCAGAGGGAAAGGGGTTGGGGGAAGTTGAAGAGGGCAAAGTGGGGACAAATGGTGATGGAAGGAGATTGACTTGGGGTGGTGAACACACAATACAACATACAGATGATGCATTATAGAACTGTATCCTTGAAACCTATATAATTTTATTAACCAACATCACCCCAATAAATTCAATTTAAAACAACCAGTTTAACTGGTAGGCATACTCCAAAAATTAATAAGAAATATTTCTCAAATGTGAAAATATTCCTATATTCCTTGTATGCTTCCTCTAAACAGAAATATTACATAGATGATAGATTTTTAAATATAATTTATGTTTTAGCACCTTTAAAAGTTGATGTGATTCCTGAGTGTTACTATTACATAATTTTGATAACCTAACCCAACTTCATTGAAGGATTTGGTTTCAAGTTGATCCTTAGGTCTAGAAGAAACTCAGTAGTGAAGCAAAATATTATTTTTTAAAGTTTCCAATTACAACACTTAGTCATAAAACAGTGTTGTCAACTAAACAATTGGCAAGTAATGTTTATTCAAAGTAAATTAAGTGCTATCACTTGTATCCATTGTATTCCCATATAACTATGGAAATATCTTGTAAGCAGATATGAAAGTACAATGAATATGGAATAGAGATAAATTCTTTAAAAATTAGAGTTATATTTAGAAAGTAACTTTCTCAAACAATTTAACAATACAAAGTTACACAGGAAATCTATTTCCTACTTTAAAAAAAAATCATACCAAAGGACCCTCAGAAATTGATTGTGACTATTTCATTTTGGGTCGCATACTCTTTATTGCATAAGCAAGGGTGTCTGCAACTAAATACAAAAGTCAACCTTATTAATTTCCTACAGTTAATTTTGAGAACCATGTGAAGAAGAATACAACACAGGGGATCTACATCTGCTTACTTCTCCCTTAAGGAGCTAGGATGATGTAGACAATGGCAAGCTTTATACCCCTCAATCTTCTAACCTGCACTGAGTTCTATCTAAACTGCTTCCTTGTTTCATCAACCACCCTCCACTCCAACTTGGACTTTCTGGAATCTCAGTTCCCTAAGGGGGTTCCAACCTTGCAAAGTGAGACTAAGAACAAGACAGGCTTGAGCCAGCTCCCTGGTCCTTCCTAAGAATCAATTCAAAGGAAGGTGGGTGGTTAATGTAAATAAACCACAAACAACCAAACACTTGCCTTTACTTGTATGCACACACATGCAAACCACACAGCAGCACCTTTCCACCTATTCAGCTTAGGATGAAACGAAGGAATTTTTTAAGGAGGACAAATGTGTTATGTGAACTACACTGGAAATAAGTTTGGTCTGGATTAATTGTGCCTTGTTGGGGGACTCTGACATGAGCATCTCCAAGATTAATAATGGTTGCTGAAATGGGCAGAAGTTCAGGAACCAGATTATTTCTTCAATTATAACAGTCATCTCCCCACTTGCTCCCACCCACTCCCATATGCCCCAAAAATGTTTTGCAATTTACAATAAAAATATCAGGGGGAAAAAGACTAACAAAAACATGCTGGAAAGAATTGTTTCCTGACAGTTTCTGGCCCAGAGATAAGAGAACAAATAAAACTATAATAAGTGCAACCCATCACCAAATCCTTTTTATCTCCCAATTCCAATATGAAATATCCTATAAGCACCCATCTACACTAATAAAAGAGAAACATGCAAATTGGTGTAACTCTGCTATACCCACCAGCTAATCAGAGTGACTATGCAAATTAACCCAACAAAAATGGAGGTTAATTTGCATACACAGGCGCAGAGCGAAGACTGAAGGCTCTGGCTGAGTGAAGACTAAAGACTGAAGAGGCTTGGCTTCTCCGCTGCGGCCGTACCAAAGGCCTGGGTCCCGGGTGCCGGAGGAAAACCAGTGCCAGCAGCCAGGGGAAGGAAGGCCTATTGCACGAATCTCTTTGTGCAATGGGCCTCTAGTTTTTTAATAACTCACAATTCTTTTTTTTAATATGTTTTATTGATTTTTTACAGAGAGGAAGGGAGAGGGATAGAGAGTTAGAAACATCGATGAGAGAGAAACATCAATCAGCTGCCTCCTGCACACCCCCTACTGGGGATGTGCCCGCAAACAAGGTACATGCCCTTGACCGGAATCGAACCTGGGACCTTTCAGTCCTCAGGCCGAGGCTCTATCCACTGAGCCAAACCGGTTACGGCAACTCACAATGCTTTAGCATGTCTATCTTCACTTTGGTGAATGTTAGTTTCCTCACTACCTAGGGTGACCATGCATCCTGGTCTGTCCAAGAAAGTTCTGGTTCCTTATTAAAAATTAGTGGCAATGTTGTCTGGGTAGGATTGCTAATAAGCACTTCCTGATCCAGACATTAAGTGTCCTAGTTTGGGCAATAAATTACGTGATACTGTAACACTAAATGAACTCTCTAATAGGCAATCAGGTTAATATTCTGGTGTTTATAATGCTGTCTAATTTTTATTGACTACTCCTCTAGTCCTCAAAATAACCAAATGACCTAAGTATAAGCTGTTGTCCTTTTGTCTCCAGGATTTCTAGAAATGCACTAAAATTTGGCTTTTCCTTTGAGGGCCTAAAGGTACTAGCACTAAGATAAATCTTGCAAAGATAATTTTGGCCCAGTATATTCTATTTCTTCACTGGTACTGAGTGATGAAAGGGTAGAAGTGGAAAGGCCTTCAAAAAGTTTTCAACTTATGCCCTAGTCAGTTTGGCTCAGTGGATAGAGTGTCGGCCTGGAGACTAAAGGGTCCTGGGTTCGATTCTGGTCAAGGGCACATGCCCGAGTTGGAGGCTCCATCTCCAGTAGGGGTTGTACAGGAAACAGGCAATCAATGATTCTTTCTCATCATTGATGTTTCTATCTCTCTCTCCCTTCCTCTCTGAAATCAGTAAACATATTTAAAAAAAAGAAGTTTTCAAATTTCATCTTGGTGGGGTGGCGTGGGGTAGACTGTGGGGGAGTGAAGGAACCACAGAACCTTTCCCCCCTTCAAATCTTGCTCAAAACCCTACAGCATAAAACTGAGAAAAGCAAAGCTTCTCTGGTGGAGCCAGGAGATAAGGTCACAGATTTACAGTCTCACCCACTAGAAGACACCCATCTCCCTTGCCTCTCTTCTCAAGGAAGCCCCTGAAGCACCTCCTTAGACCTGGTTCCAAAGAACACAGTCTGAAAAATAAAGGTCTAAGACCAATTCCTTTAATTTACAAATGAAGAAAATGTGGCTCAGTTCATCTGCTTTTGCCCACATATTTCAATTTCATCTCCTCTACTGGTAATTCCATAAACAAAGCTATAAGTCAAGAGTGGGTGGCCGACAATGTCATCGAAAACTGTCTTCTTAAGGTATATACCTTATAACAAAGAAACAGCCCTGGCCGGTTTGGCTCAGTGGGTAGAGCGTCAGCCTGCGGACTGAAGGGTCCCGGGTTCGATTCCGGTCAAGGGCATGTACCTTGGTTGCCGGCACATCCCCAGTAGGGGGTGTGCAGGAGGCAGCTGATCGATGCTTCTCTCTCATCGATGTTTCTAACTCTCTATCCCTTTCCCTTCCTCGCTGTAAAAAAATCAATAAAATATATTTTAAAAAAACAAACAAAGAAACATACAGCAATGGATGTTAAGTGCTTTTCTAGACTACAACTAGTAGACTCAAACAGAGTCACTCAAAACAACCTAATGTGGAGCCTGTTTGTGAATGTTTCTTCCTCTGGAGGGAAAATGGAATAGGAGCTGAAAATGAGTAAGAAGGTATTAAACCATTTTAAATTAAGGTTCCAAAGTGAACATATATTCTACTTCTAAGAATAGCTACCAAAAAAAGCTACTGAAAAGAATGATAATGATATATGAAGATGTTCATCATAGTATTGTTTATAACTGTATAAGGCACATGTATAAACACAAAGTGTAGGAGAAAAGAGGCAAAAAGAATTGAAAAGGAAAGAAGAGTTACTGAAGCAATGGAATTCTGCTGATTTCTTTTTCTACCCCTCCTAAAGTGTCTTTTAAAATGAAACCAAACAAAACAAAAACACAGAATGCAAATAGCACTTACCACAGAGACTTTGCTTACTACATCTCTTGCAACTGCTAAGCCTTGAGCAAAAGTACGGGCTGCTACAAATGCACGAGTAATTTGTAGTTTCAGTTTCCGAGGGACATCTCCAAAGGGCTTCAGCTGCTCCGTATACTTGCTCACACATTCCAGATACTCATCTGTGAAGTGGTACTCCGAGTTCACCAGGCGGAACATCCGCTCCAAAAGGCGAGCCCAGAAATCATTTAGCATTTCTTCCAGGTTCACATTTCCCACCACATAGTAGCGCTTCAACTCTTTGAAGAGATCTTTAAATAGCTCAGAATTTTGCATGTATAAGTGGCCATATGTCTTCACAAACATGTCATTCAAGGATTTTTCTGCATTTTCAAGTAGTTCTTTAAAGAATTCTAAAAACAAAACAATAAAAAAGAAAAAGGTTTTCAGTAATTAAATAACCAAGTCTTTTTCCAGGTAAATTTGAAATAAAAAATCATTAAATTTAATTGGAAAACATGCTTGGATATAGGGTAGATTTCTTTTGGTGAATGTGGCATCTCTGATCATTTGTCAATGAAAAGAAATCTATATCACAAAATCACACAAAGAGAGGTAGAAAAATGGAATTTTAAACTAACTTATCAGGAGTCAGTATAAAAGAAATATATGTATACACACACACACACACACACACACACACACACTCATTCTTCTCTCTTATTCAGTCACAAGATAAAAAACTAGAAAAAAATCGGTACACGAAGTCTACAACATGAAGTGTCCCAGAACTTTATGCTGCAAGAATCTAAACCAATGTTAATAATGCCTCCTAATTGTAACCTGACAATAGGACAGGTGTTTTCAAACGGTGTTCTTTTATTTGAATACATTTTTTTAGTTCTCTCCTCCTTATATCCACATGACAAGTAAGAAAACTGCCTGGGAAATGCTTGAAGCCAAGAAAAATAATGAAACACACCAAGAAGCAAACACATAATTTTTCTGAAAATTAGGTGTCCCCTTGTGTCACTGGTTCAAATTGGGGTATCCAAGTTGACCTTGAGTTGCTAAAAATTCATACAGTAACATCATGAGTTTTTTCTTCCGGTGAGGGTAGAGGGAGGGAAAGACAGAGGGAGAGGGGGAGGGGGAGGGGAAGGGGGAGGGAGATGAAATGCATAACAGATTCAACCAATATAAAGACAATAGGGAAAATAACTGAAAAAATATATAAGTATACCACATTATTTCAGACTTACATTTTGCCCACCACATACCCACAACATATGTGTTGAAGATTTTAATCTCTTAAGTACAAATTGCAAATTAGTTTCTCCTGAAGCTTTCCTCAGGAAATTCAATGAAGAGGAGCTAACAGTGTATCTGTAACATTAATCGTTCTCAAAAAATCTATGCCTGGTATAAAAATAAATACCTCATGATATCAAGTTTTTAAGTAGGAAATGTAATAAATACCAAAGCAAAATATAAGGACCACATCAAATAAGAAACTGCCTCCAAGTGAACATGGAGCAGGAAACAAAATATGATGCCTCCTTCAAAGCCAGGAGAACATTAGGGAGCTTATCAAAATGCAATAGCACTACAAACCATTCTCTGTTCATGGTGGGTGGGCAACCCAGAGGCTGAAAACTTATTACAAATAGTTTCTTAAACCTGGACTGAAAACACTGAAGCCTTTTGGAGGGAATGTGTGTGACTTTCCTCACTATCAAGAGATTCCACACCTATGCCCCTGTCTCATCACCATGTGGTTCATGAGGCTTGGAGCTAAATTCATAGTCCTTTGGGCCCACCTTTTCAAACTATGTGTGTTTTGTCTATTTTTTCTTTCTTTTACCACTTGCCTTTTATTTCCTATCTTCAGAGAAAGGGAAATTGATTCCCTCTGAAGATTAAAAACTAGGCAAGTCAACTACTCCATTATCCCCATCACAAGTGTACAGCTTGGCATTTTTACCAATGTTTTCTCCCTGGAAGAAGGACAGAAAGTACAGAAGGAGCTGAAGGAACCACATGAAAAGCATTATTCAAATCAGGTATCTGGAAAGGTCTCTGATTCTCTCCAAAATCCCCAGTGGTTCTCAAGTGTGGTCTAATGATGGGCATGCATCAACATGACAAGGACATGTGTTAGAAATACAAGCTCTTAGGCCTCAGCCTAAACCTACTGGGAATCAGAAACCCTGACCGTTAGGCCCAGCCATCTGTGACTCTGCTGCACCCTAAAGTTTGAGAACCACTGCTCTAGTCAATGAGACGTCTCCCATTTTACCTCTCACTTGCAATGACCACCAGCTCAGGCAATGAGCTGAATGTGAAAAATTCAAGTAAGTGTTCATGTTTTAATTAGTGGAAAGTGTCTTTGTAATGAATTGGGTTTTTTAAATTTTTGGTTGCAATCATGAGTGTGATTTGTTCATGATGTTTTGGGGGCAAATTTTCTTGTGTGGAATTGTCTCTCAACTAAATGTCAAATGCAGGAGGCATGTCTCTGAAATTCAAAGTTGGGGAGTCTCAAGGTGACAAAAGAGACCATAAAAATCATCTGGTCCACTTTCCACCCCTTGCTTGAATCACCAGCATCCTTGTTAAATAGGGCTGATTTTTGGGGGACATAAAAGAAAGCACACTTAATTGTGTTATTACATGCCCAGTATGTTGCACACATAGACAGCTCTCACATAATGGAAAAATAGAGTGTGGTCATTGAGATCAATGTGCAAGTTTTATGTCAACCCAGTGCTATTAATATTTTACAATATAAACACTAGATTCCAAGGGCAACCATAGGTCCTTCCCTATACAGCTGGTCCCAGACTTACAATGGTTTGACTTACAATTAACATTATGGTGTTGCGAAAACAATACATATTTAGTAGAAACAGTATACTTCAAATTTTGATCTTTTCCCATGATAGTGATAGACAGTACAATGCTCTCTGGTAATGCTGTATAGTGGCAGCAAAATGATTTTGCCCAACTTTAGGCTAATGTAAGTGTTCTGAGCACATTTGAGGTATGCTAGGCCAGGCAAGGATGTTCAGTAGGTTAAGTGTATTAAATACATATTTGACTTAGAAGATCTTCAACTTACAATGGACTTATCAGGATATAAGTTACTCCACTGTCAGTTGAGGTGCATCATATTGTATTTATATTATATTATATTATATTATATTATATTATATTATATTATATTAATTATATTATATTATTATTATCCTATCTAATAAAAGACAAAAAGGGTAATTAACCGTACCTCTGCTATGCTTCCCATTGGCTAATCAGGGCAATATGCAAATTAACTGCCAACAAAGATGGCGGCCGGCAGCCACGCAGCTGAAGCGAGCAGGAGGCTTGCTTGCTCCAGTGATGGAGGAAGCCAAGGTTCCCTGCCTGTTGCAGCCCAGCTCTGAGCCTGAAATCAACAATGTTTCAATTATAGAAGCTAAACAAACCCCAGATACCTGCTTTCAGCCGGCAGCGGCCTCAGAGCTGGGAGCGCCAGTGACGGCAACAATGTTTCAATTATAGAAGGTAAATAAATCCCAGAATAAAAAAAAAAAAAAAGAAAAAAAGGAGAGGCTGGGAGCTTCAATCGCCAGCCAGCCTGAAAACGGCCCTCAGCCCCTCACCCAGACTGGCCAGGCACCCCAGTGGGGACCCCCACCCTGAAGGGGATGTGACCAGCTGCAAACAGCCATCAGCCCCTCACCCAGGCTGGCCAGGAACCCAAGCGGGACCCTACTCTGATCCGGGACACCCTTCAGGGCAAACCAGTCAGCCCCCACCTGTGCACCAGGCCTCTATTCTATATAGTAAAAGGGTAATATGCAAACTGACCCTACCAACAGAAAGACTGGGAATGACTGGTCACTATGACACACACTGACCACCAGGGGGCAGATGCTCAATGCAGGAGCTGCCCTCTGGTGGTCAGTGCGCTCCCACATGGGGGAGCTCTGCTCAGCCACAAGCCAGGCTGATGGCTGCCAGTACAGTGGTGGTGGTGGGAGCATGTCCTGCCTCCTCAGCAGCACTAAGGATGTCTGACTGCAGCTTAGGTCTGCTCCCTGCTGGCAAGTGGACATCCCCCGAGGGCTGCCAGGCTGCCAGAGGAATGTCTGATTGCCATTTTAGGCCCAATCCCCCAGGGAGCAGGCCTAAGCCAGCAGGTGGTCATCCCCCGAGGGGTCCCAGACTGTGAGAGGGCACAGGCTGGGCTGAGGGATCCCTCCCCACTGTGAGTGCACAAAATATAATGTAATATAATACTAGAGGCCCGGTGCACGAAGATTCGTGCACTGGAGGTGTGGGGGTGGAAGGGGGGGGGGGTCCCTCAGCCCGACCTGCACCCTCTCCAATCCGGGAGTTTCTGTCTGTCTTTGCAATCATATGAGCGAATTGTCTGAGACCCCCTACCCAGTTTGTTTTGTTGCTCACAGCATAATAGAGGCATTTTTTTTCTTTGCTCCATTAGTGGAGATTTCCTGGAAGTTTTAGGATATCTTCCCTATAATTTTTCCTAGATACTGATTTTACTTATGTCTCTCACCTTTGCTTTCCCTCCATCCCCAACTGCAACAGTAACTTGCTCCAGGCTCACTTTGTTCTAGTGTCTAGGACAGGGGTGGGCAAACTTTTGACTCGAGGGCCACAATGGGTTCTTAAACTGGACCGGAGGGCCGGAACAAAAGCATGGATGGAGTGTTTGTGTGAACTAATATAAATTCAAAGTAAACATCATTACATAAAAGGGTACGGTCTTTTTTTTTTTTTAGTTTTATTCATTTCAAACGGGCCGGATTTCAAACGGGCCGTAGTTTGCCCACGGCTGGTCTAGGAGATCCGTCTGCCACCAGAACTACAATTCCCAGCATTCCTGGTGCTCCCTGCACTCTGGGTTTTCCCTGACCGAGGGAGCCACATCCCCCCAAGCTGCTGGCTCTCCTGCTCTGCTCTCTGTCCGGTGACCAGTGACTGGTGACTGAGGGAGCCATGTCCCCCCAAGGGAGCGACCGACGGAGCCACGTCCCCCCAAGCTGCCAGCTCTCCCACTCTGCTCTGTATATGTAAATCACCTGCCATCTTCATCGAGTTAATTTGCATAGTCCTCATTGGCTTGTGGGCGTGGCTTGAGGGTAGCAGAGGGATGGTTAATTTGCATGTTTCTCTTTTATTATATTCTATTAGAGGCCCGGTGCACAAAAATTTGTGCACTGGGGGTGGGGGGCTTCAGCCCGGCCTGTGCCCTCTCGCAGTATGGGACCCCTCGGGGGATGACCACCTGCTGGCTTAGGCCTGCTCCCCGGAGGATTGGGCCTAAGATGGCAATCAGACATTCCTCTGGCAGCCTGGGCAGCCTCGGGGGATGTCCACTTGCCAG